ATGGAATTCCCCCTTTTCCCTCGTGATTCCCACCATCCCATCATTCCCATTCTCCATCCCTGGGGCCTCCCAGAGCACCTTTCCCTATGGAATTCCCCCTTTTCCCTCGTGATTCCCACCATCCCATCATTCCCATTCCCCACCCCTGTCGCCTCCCAGAGTACCTTTCCCTGTGGAATTCCCCCTTTTCCCTCCTGATTCCCACCATCCCATCATTCCCATTCCCCATCCCTGGAGCTGCCTGTCACTTCCCAGAGTGCCTTTCCCTGCAGAATTCCCCCCTTTTCCCTCCTGATTCCCATGGGAATTCCTGCTGGGACTTGCCCTCCCAGCCCTTTTTTTCCTTAACGAACCGCCCTGGGCTCGTTCCCACTCTGGAATTGCCACCTCCAAGAAAAACCTGGGGACACATCCCACTGTCTCCAGCTGTTGGGATTTGGAGGGGGGGGGAATTTTTTGGCAGAAAAAGGGATTCAGGGGGGAATTTTTTGGGAGCAGGAGCAGGAATTGGGGAGGTGAAGGGGGACGAGCATCGTGGGGGGTGTTCCCTGTATATCCCAGTCTATCCCAGTCTATCCCAGTCCCCTCCGGCCTCTCCTCGTGCCCAGGCCGGTGCCAACACGTTCATTGGGGTTGTATAACCCGGCTCCTCCTCGGAAAAGGCTTTTGCTGGGCCCTGACTCACCCCTGGCTTTACATAAGCCAGGCCTGGGAGCTTCCCCGCCCAGGGAATGAAATGACAGGGAGAAAATTTTGGGGGGATTTTTTGCAGAAGTGAGGGGGGGTGAGAGGGGTAAAATTTTGGGGGGATTTTGCAGAATTTGGGGGGATTTTGCAGAATTGGGGGGCTGTGACAGGGATAAAATTTTGGGGGGATTTTGCAGAAATGTGGGGGGGTGACAGGGATAAAATTTTGGGGGGGAACTTTGCACAAGTGGCAGGTGACAGGGATAAAATTTTGGGGGAATTTTGCAGAAGTGGGGAAAGGTGACAGGGATAAAATTTTGGGGGGATTTTGCAGAATTTGGGGGGATTTTGCAGAAGTGTGGGGGGGG